CAGATAACTGCTTCTTCTCTTCCACTAAAACACCAGAAAATTAAACACTCCTCCTTTCAGGAATTCCTCACACGTAAACAGTTCTTCAAAAAAAGCAAGCCAACCTCTTGTGGAAGATTACTTAGATATAATTCGTATGCAGGTTGTAAAAGGGGAATTTCCTCCCTGCTTTTGGAAAGTCTGACTGCATTTTAGATTGTCCAATTCTTGCTGAATGTGTGTATAATTTAGTGCAGCTATCTTTGAGGATAGGTCTTCTATTTAGAACCCGTTACAGCATTGCCCTTGATCTGCTGCTCCCTTTTTACTGTTGCAGTGACCCCACAGATCTGTGAAAGCAGGGAATTTAAAAGATCTAGGTGATGTTAGCTCTTGGTTATAATCCTTCTTTAATAAGAAGGATTTATTTGTTGAAACTGTTCTACAACTTCAGGATATAAATTTATGACAAAGTACAAGCTTTGTACAATTTCCAGAACCAAGCAGCTCTTATCCAGAAAAAAGGTCAAACGTTCCCTTCTGATATTTGCATCATATTTCTTGAGCATTTTGAAGAGTGGGCTTGTTACATGATTTCCTTGAGGGATTCTGCTTTTGGCTTCTTCTGGAGGTTTCTCTCATCTGTTCTGCTCTGCTTTTGTATCAGCTGTTGAGAAGTTTTTCTATAATTGTCAGTTGCTCTTGTTAGGTGAGCTCCTGATTAATGTCATGACAGCAAAACTATTCACTGGTGACCTGTTGGTGCCTAAACCCCCTGAAATAGAGTTAGAGAAACATCTTGCTTTGAGTATTAACCAGAGAAGCACTATTTCCGTGCAACTTTGCTGCCTGGTGAAAAAAAAAAAAAAACCCCAAAATACAACAACAATAAATCCTAGGAGATTCTCAAGAATAATATGTGGAAATGTCATACACATAGCAAATTGTAACTTTATCTGCTTAAAAGAAGAAGAAATTTACAGTGTTAGCTGTCAACAAAATTCCTTTATCCTCTGATAGCCGTCAGCAGTGGTGGTGGCATAAATACCTATCCTAACTCCTGTGTTTATACTGGTTGAGGCATTGAAGAGTTGGAACAGTGTCTCTATGGTTTGGGAAACTGTGTATTACCTCAAATCATTGTGCTTCTAGACATGCTTGTAAGTGAAAGTTAAATTAATGTTGTAAAATGACAAATATGCCTTTTGTGCTGTATGCTCATTTGCTTAAGTGATTTTTGCCTCTTGCTATTGCTAAGAGGAAAAAGTCAAAATCATTGGTGCTAATAGTATAAACAATAGGAAAACATGTAATTTTCTTTGGGATCAGAAAGATAAAGACAAGAATAAACTTCTAATGAGCTTGGAAAATGTTAATTTTTAATCATACTGTTGGCAGAGTGTATAGACCAATGATTAATTGGTCATAATTGTACTCAATGCTGTAGATATTAGAAGTTGCTTGACTCAGTGCAGAACACTTACTGATTTTCAGAAAGAACTTAGAGAGAATGGAAAATATTCAAATTCTCCTGTTTATTTTAAGACAAGATATTTCACATAAGCTTATGTGCGGTTCATTTCATGTTTTTCCCACAAAATCTCTTGGCTATGCTCTTGCATTCTGGAGAATGATGATAGGTCCTATCAATTTTGTCACAATGCCAGAAAGGGATTCCAATGACATTTTTTGGGTGGTCATTGAGATCAAGTCTGTATTTTTTTTTTTTAACTATAGACATCATCTGAGGCTGGAGTCAAATTCTCTCTGTAACAACAGAGTAGCGCAGTGCTCACGGAAGAGGGAAGAGTAGAAATAAACAGTTCTTGTGTGTTCATCACAGAGCAGTTTTGGAGTTTTGAGTGCATGGGGGTTGCAGCTCAGCTCCTCCCTGCCCATCCCAAAGGCCAGGCAAACTCTCAGATGTTGCTGTTCCAGCTGAGCTTCAGTGAGTTGTGAGTCTCCAGTCCACATCTGGGGAACCCTAAGATGTGTCTTGGGAGGTCGGGTCTGCACTCGTGTTTGCTGTAATGGGGCAGTAGGTTTGGAGTGCTGTAACTTAGTACAAACCCGCTGTGCTCATTCCCAGCACCCCAAGGACTCTGCTCGTAAGGACTGGCTCGGTGCTCTTTAAGTGATGCAGTTAAAAGAAACAAGAGTACCCGTGTAGGAGCCCACTGATTGTAAAAATGGGTATAGCAATAAAAAGTGCTTATTTGGGTTTATTTACTCGTTGTGGGATTTGCAACGATAGTTCACCATCTAGTATGTGCTTCTTTCAAGGTTTCAGCAGGTTATGGGCAGATGACTTTGCTTGAATGACCACTTTATATGGGTTTTGTTCTGCTTACGTTACATGTCTGGTTATATTTTCAATTTGCAGAGTCTGTGAAGTGTTTGATGTATTTGTATAAACAATTTGATTTCTGAAAATATGTTCTGAATTAAATGCCAATGCTGTACAACAATACACTAACAACATTCTGAGACCATTTAAAGCCCTTTGTTTAGTAACACAATGAATGTCATTAGACTGTTACAGTAAGAATGTGAACATTAAAAACAGCTTGTAAAACGAAGAGTTTTTGAAATCTAGAATTATGGGGGATATCAACTTGGAGCATCTGCTTCTGTCTTTAATTTTTGAGTGAAATGTTTTCCTGTTGATTCTTGACAAACGTGTTTCCCATCAAATCGGGCATTCAAGTTTCAGTTTTGACAATCACACCTCAAAAACCAATTTTCAGTGCAAATTTTGAGATGAATGTTGAAAGCGTGAAATTAAAAGTTGCCGTTGTTTTTGTTTGCCTCTGAGTTGTGGTACTTAGGAGTCACGAGTTGCATCTTGCAGTCACACTGACTGGAAACACTTCATTTCCACTAAAATAAAAGCGAGTATTTTCATGGACTTGCATGTCATCAGAATAAAAATAAAACCAGAAACTTCTATAAGAGCGTTAGATCTGCTAATATAAACTGTGTACATTTTTCCTCCACTCGCCTCTGTTCCCTGCCATTATTTGTATTGGCATTTAGTCTGTGCTTGTCCTTTGCTGCTGGAGTAGTCCAAGTTTTACTGAGCTGCTCAGTATAAACCTCATCCTGAGAGCTGGACCCTGTGAAGGCACATGAAGCAGAAATACAGGTGTAGCTCAGGAATGCAGGGGAACCTGCCTGGGATCTGTCGCTCAGATCACATTCAGACTTAACAAAAACAGGAGGTAGAGAGGCTCGGGAGGGGCTGCGCTCGTGTTCCCTGACTCCCCCTTTTCCTCTTTGCCTGTGCCCGTTACGCTTCCCTGTGTCCTGTCCCAAAGCTGTTCTGATTGTGTGGCAAGACTGTTGGCTTGTGGCTAGAGAAATATTTCCAGGTGTGCTGTCTACAAAGAAGAGTGCTCCGAAGCTCAGAGGGATAGAAATCTTCCATTGGGAACCCCTAGTGCAGGGATTTATGCACTATTTAGATCTCTTTTTTCTTTAAAGCACTACAAAGTTTGGTGTGTTTGTAAAATTTTCAAGATCATTTTAACTGTTCCATTGTATAGTTTTGAGCGTGGTTCATTATTTTCTTTTTTCCCAATTGTTTCAAGATTGACAACTGAGACAAACAGTGCCACTCAGAAGAAAATAATTACAAACATTCTGTCTCCTTGAAAAACAGGTCTATACTTCACATCTATATCAATGTATAAAGTTTTGCAGTCAATAGAAAATGATACCAGTTCATGTGGAGCATTTGATAATTTGAATTTTCTTGATGTATCAACTACTTATTTGTTGTTAATAGTGTTGAACCATGAATAATTTACTGGCTTTCACTTTATAATCTGCAGTGTCTGCTAACTTTGAAGTTCAGTAGTCAATTTAAAGTTTGCAGGAGCTGAGTAATGATTCACCAGAGATTTTTGTGAGATATTTTGTCATCCATTTAAAGCTTGGAAAAGTCTGCTCTTGCAGCCATCTGGCAGTTCTTGGTTCTCTGGAGGAAAGAGAAGCCTTTTGATACAATAGATCAAAGCATTCTGCTTTTTCAGTGACTGATACCTATAAGTAACTCAGAAGTTTCTCAAAGTTATTTCACAATGCCTGTCTCATTTGCCAAGCTTTTGTATTGTAGCTACAATACAATATTGGCCATGAATTACATTTTAATTGTATTTGAATCATTATTTAGAAATTTCTGTTTGCAGCTGATTTACAGATCCAAGTGTTTTTATTAACCAAGAGGTTTTAAATTTACCAAATATGCTGTTGTGATTAATAACATTGATGCTAAATCTTGTTGCTCTTAGTGCTGATGGTTTAGGTAAGGGTACTCTCAGCAACTGTACTTGTGCTACACCATAAGCCTGACATATGGGTGTACCTGTCAGGGAATTTCAGAAACAGCTGATGTGTCTTGGCATGTGGCCTGTGTCATCCTAAGTGTATATAGTCTTTAGTAACAGGTGAGCCTTACTACTTAACCATGCAAGGTACAGGTGACAGATGTGGTAAGTACCAGATATCCACTGACAAGTCCTTCTGACTTGCTGTTCTTTACATTAGGTGGCTTGGAGAAAGGAGAATACTTCTAAGATGCTGAATTTTTAAGTACTTAATAGTACTAGATACTAATACTTAAGTACTAGATAACCAATGTGGTACCAGATTTTCAGAAATAGAATGATGTGAATTTAGTGAAGGAATAGCTAATTATTCACACATTAAAATTTGCTTGAACTCAGATTTAAAAGTGGCATTTAGGTAGCAGAAGAAAATTCCACATACTTGTGCTTGCCATATAAGCATTTCAGTGAGCTATCCAGGATAGGTCTGGTGCTCTTTTGTTAAGTCCATAAACAATGATAAATTCGTAATTCCATACTTCATAAAGTTCCATGATTTAATGTTCTGCCTGCTGTAACTCTGGATCAGCTGCATGTGCTTACCTGATTGTTTATCTCCCTGTCTGCTCGACATGTGCTTCCCAGCAGCTACAGTTCAACATGGTTTTTCTTCTTTTTTTTTTTTTTTTCCAGTGTGGGAACTTTGCTGTCTTGGTGGATGTTCATATTTTGCCTCAAGGCTCCATTAAAGACACCAGCTGGTTTTCAGATCATGAGAAAGAGGTACAACAAATATCAATTCTACTTCAAAAGTGTATGGCTGCAGGGAAAAAGTTGGTTTGCCCTAAACTGTTTGGGATGTTTTAGTGTTAGGAGAATATTGTTAGTTATACCTAATCATCAGCGGTTGCCCTGGGACCCCTAAGTCAACCATATGTGCTTTTTGGGTCACCAATGACCACTTTAAATTTGCTTTTTAATTTTTAAACTCTGTGTGTGTGCACATTCACGCCTACATGTATGCTGTGTGGATTTTTGTGACTTAACTTTTAATTGAAAAATATGTTTCTCATGAATGCTTGCGAATTATCCTGAGTGATATAAACCAGATTGTGGCAGGGATGATTTTTTTTATGAAACATCTTCCTATTATTTTTTTTTCCTCATTCTGAGAAGTGTAAATGACATTGCATTTAGAGGGTGCAAGAAAACATAAATATGCAAGATAAACTGTAGTAGAACTGTTGCCTCTTATGAAAAGAAACTTCCATTATTTTGAAGTGTGTCATGTGTATATCCTGATGACATAGTGGAAAATCGGTGAGCAGCAAAATTGTGTCTGTGACTTTGATCAGACTGTAGAGAAATGGCCGAGGATCTTGCGCTGCGGTGCTGGCAGGAGCTCTCCCCTGTGTGTGGGAACGTGAGAAGTTCCTGTTGAAAAGGAAGGCAGGACGTGTTTGGGATGCCTGTGGACTTTCCCGCAAGTCTCCCTTACGGTCATTTTCAGCAGATAGCTTCCCTAATAATGCCATCATTAACTTGTCACTGCACGGCAGTCCCCAGCCATCTCACAGTCGTACATTTCAATGGAATTAAAGGCACAATGCATTAATATCCTGGGGGAGCAAAAGCAGAGTATTTAGCAGCATGTGGTTCATCTGATTTGTGCTTTATGAGGCAGAGAAATAAGAAAATAGGGAAAATCTTTCAGATATATTGTTAATGACTAAATGAATGCTCATTACCTTTTCTATTTATAACCAGTTTTACTCTCCTGGTTATCTGAGTTTTAAACGTTTTCAAAATGTATTTTGTAAGACTGCCAAAACAAAAGAGATTAATTTCAGGAAATTAACTCATGATTGATTTAATAAAGAGGCATGATAAGACAGCATTCGGTGCATTTCTGTGACTGCATATTTCAAGAGAAGTACAAAGGTTGCATATTTTCAGCAACTGAGAAGTGTGAGTCAAATAGCTTTGCAGTTCACTTCCTGAAAGTCCTGTGCAGAATCTCTGTGTGAGAGAAGAAAAGGTCCTAAAGAAAGATCATTCCGACATCTTTTATGAGAGCTTTTACATGTTCATCGCAAGTGGTTTTCTGAATTTTTGTTGTTTCCAAACTGAAAAATGCTGGTGGTGGTGCAGCCCTGTCTGCCTGCCTGTGGGAAATGTGGATGCCTCTGTAACAAACACAGTTCCTGCTGATCCCCTGCTGACCCTGGCTGCAAGTCATCGCTGGAGCACAAGGATGCTGGTGGTGCTGTCCCCGCGGCCCTCTGGCTGCTGGCTCCTTGGAGCACGTGCAGAGGGCAGGCTGGAGCAGCACCAGTGCCCAAAGCACGGCCCTGGTGTGAGGGAACACAGCTGGGTGTTGGAACGACCATCATGGCACGCTGCTGTGGCCAGCTGCGTGTGCAGGATTCTTGGGATTGCTGTGAGATGCCCTTCCAATTTCCTTGCCCTTTCTTTCATACCCCTTTTCTCCTGGAATGGCAAAGTCAAAGTTTTATCTTTGCTCTCTGAGGTCTGTATGGTTCTCTGTGGGGAGCCATTGAAATAACATTTCCATAAGGCTAACAAGTAAAATATGTTCCATGTAAATGAAGGAAGTGCAAGGTAATGTTTATTGCTGTGGAAGGAACCGAAGACACACCATGTGTCTGCTGCTTTTGAGAGCTTCTCGTTCTAACCCCAGCACAGGCCATGAAGGAATGTGTAATGGGAGCACTTTAATGAGTTAAACAGAAGGACAAGCAAATACAGAAACGTATAATTGTGCTCTACAAGCAGTAAGGAAAATGGATTTCTTACTATAAAGACAAAATGCTGGTTGGGATTGACTAATGTACATGCCCTGCTTTCATTTAGAGCAATGCATTAAAAAAAGTATTGTTCTGAGTACTTTCTACATTACTCAAAAGAGAATTTCAAGGCAAGAAAGTTTAGATACTATTATACAATTTTATCTATTACCCTAACACATTACAGAGGTAAAATTATATTTTTGTGTGCCACAGAATATCATTGCTGTGAGCACATAGTTATGAACAGAGGAAAATGAGAATACTGAGGGAAAAGTCTCAAGTGTGTGTGTGTGTGTATTAATCTTAAAGCTTATTCTAGTATTCAACAGATGATTTTTTGGTTTTTGCTCCGAGTATTTTTTTTTTCTGGGTAATTCTGGCAGAAGGTTTTGTTCTTCCTGAGTTGTATGTGGTTTTATTGTGCTTTGTTGAAGAAAGTATGAAAGATATGAACAGTTATGTTTAGGGGCAGAAAAATCTAAATTCATTAGAGCAGTTGAGTTGCTGTGACCTAATTTGCTCAGTCTTACCCAGCGCCCTGTCCCCCCCAAATTACTCAGAATTGGAGCAAAATATCTGTTGTGGTTTATAAGAATTGTTACACGGAAATAGTGTGTTGACAGTTCCTGAGAGGATTTTTACTAAAATTTTGCTTAAATACCTAATATTGTGATACATTTTTAACATGTATTTTTTCCTACTTTGCATGCATATGAAACTAATTTCTGATTTTAAAATGTTAGTATTGTAATATAATATATTTCATCTGCCAAGTAAGAATTTCATAATATACTTCCTCTTTTGTTCTTTAGAAAAATTGTTTGATTCCCGTCCTTGTTCCCATCCATTTCCTAATTCATGTGCTTCTCCTGTCAAAGTTTTTCCTTTTAATGGGAGAGGGAATAATTTTGTATTGGTTTCTGCTGTGTGCCTGTGGGCATTTCTGTAAATTTAGATCAAACCAGGCCAGTGGTTTCTCTTTCAGGAGGTCTGCAAGCTGCTGGAAGAAGTTGTTGCTTCAAGGGTCAAACACTACTTGGAGGCACCTAAACAGCGTGGTCAGTGGAAGCCCACGGAACAGGGATCATCTGGGCCTTTGTTTCTTACTGGTAAAAGAAATTATTTCACTTAGTGTGCAAGAAAGTGCCATGGAAAATACTGTTCTTTATTTTTTCTGTGGGAAATTCGCCATCAGCAAGGCCTGAAATAGTTGATGTTTTGGTCTGGAATTACTTCAGCTATGTTAGTGAAAAAATTAAGTGGATTTTGATTGATTTTAATTTTCTGTGTTGCTTAAAAGTGAACACAATGCTGTACTATTAGTCTGAGAGCCTATCATTAGAACTAAAAAAAAATTACTTATACAACCCTTGGTCCTGCAAAATTGGTTAAAATCTTGCTGGTTAGTTAAATCTCTTTTCCACTCACCCATTTAGTGTAGAATTTTTAAGTACAGAAATAATATCTTCTCCTTTTACTTTTGGCAGTCTGTTCAGTCTTAAAAAGTTGGTGTGATGTGGTAAATGGCGTTTGTCATTTCACCAGTGCTACTGCAGGCCTGGCAGCAGCACCCATGACCTTGGGAGTACAGAGATTAAGAGCCTTCACCCATTTGGAACTAATTTTTTGTGTGTGTGAGGGTGTTGAGGCCAGCAGGTGCCATTTCAGTACAGCCACACTTTAAACTAGAGATCCTGATCAGTTTGGCTTGGGCCTGACTGCTAGATCAGCTTTGGGGCTAAATGGCTGCCAGTTTTTGTTAAACACCGTTTCACTGTTAGCATAATGCTGGAGTTTACAATTGTTAGGCTTATCTGTTGGTCTTATACCAGCAATTGATCTTTAAATAGCTCTTAGGAAAAAATTACTGGTGTTTGTTACTAGCCTTGAGCAGGTTACAAACTTTTCTCAGAAAAGAGGGGCTGCAGTAGTAAAGCTCTGTGCTGGCCATGCAATGCATGTGATTACATACTTACACTGGATCATCACTGTGCTCATAAATTTTACAATCCAACATCTATTATATGAACAGTTTCATTTGGGAACAAGTTCTTTGCCTCTTAAAATGCTTTCCATTGTTGAAAAGGTGTATTCCTATGGAATGCTGATTGGTGGTTACAGCTTTACATGCTATTGTCAATAATAATGATAAAACACAGGTTACATACTGTGTGGTTGCCTTAATATTGCAAAATTTTAGGCATATCTGGGGGCCAGGTTCTTCTGGCATGACATGGGCTTTTTGCCACCTCTCAAGAACACAATGCCACATAAGCAAGAGGTGCTTCAGGCCACTAAAAATTTCCAAACCCTTTTCTTCCTTGCAAGTTGTAACTACATTTTATCCCTTTAAAATATTATTATTGTTTGTGAAGCACATGGACTTTCAGACCCCTGTACTTTTCTGATTGTGAGTGAGCATTATGGATGGTGGGATCAGAATTTCTAAGATCTGTTGGGGTTTTTTCTGTGTTTTCTTTTATGAAGGGATGTTTTTTATTATTTATTTTTAAATTTTCCTGCCCAAATAAAAAGTAGGTTTCGAAAAAATTATGATTTTATAAGGTAAAATTGCCAGACATAATAGTTGTTTTTATATACGTGCGTAGATACAGCACTGATTTAAGTGTGTTTGTTAGAATTTAGGATCTTCTTTTTCCTTTCATATCATGAACTTCTCAGTAAAAATACTGGTGTGCTATCCCAGGGTTGGGAGCTGATCTTCTGCTTGACTCTTCCCCTTGTTTCCTGAAAATTAAAAACTTAGGGATATGCATTTGAGGAGGTCATCAGTAATATCAGTGACAGTGTTGGATTAAAGGATATTTACTTTGGATGAGGCAGAATGACTGTTCCATCAGTTTTCTGCAGTTAATCTCACCGTCATTAATTAACAATAAAGAACTAAAGGAAGAAAACAGGCTGTGATAACGAACATTCATGTTCAGCTTCACTTCCAAAGCCAACTCTTTCTTTTTCTCTCAGCCTGCTTTGCTCAAGGCTGTAATTTGTGAGAAAGGAGTGCTTTGTTCAAGCCCAAGAATCAAGTTTCTTCAAGTTCCCTTGGAGTCTGTTCTTACCTGGGAAGGAAATAACAGAATAGGTGGGTGTTCACTGGGGCAACGGGCCCTGCCTCTAAGGACTGACCCTTCCAGGTGAGCCCCAGGGCCAGGGGCTGCAGCAGCTCCCTCTTGTGCTGTGCCTCCTCTCCGGGATCACAGCTCCGTTTGGGGCTGCAGGGGTGGCTTTGTGTTGGGCACACAGATGAAGCGCTTGGCTGGCAGGGTCTGTACCACACGAAGGAGTGCTCCACGGAGGTGCTGTGGGAAAAGGCTTCAGCTGCAGCTCTTGTTGCCTTGGGAGCTTAGGAAGACTTTCTGAGTTCTTCAAGCTCTGTGTGCTTTCTTCTGCTCCAAGTTATTCAAGTCTGCGTGGAGTTGCACTGCTGTAAACCCCCTGCTCTTGCAAGGAGGTGTGTACCTACAGAGGATTATTAACTGCTTGCTTACTCTTTGCAGTGTCCCAGGTCAGCAGTCAACCCCTGGCTGTAGTTGCATCTTTTCAAGTCAATTTTAGCTAGTTTGCTGTACACACTGCAGGATGTATTCAACATTTCTTGAAAAGAGAATTATTAGACCAGTATTGATAAGATTTTAGACTACCTTTAATGTCAAGGCATGTTGTATTAGGTTTCATTTCAGAGCTAGAAGCCAAGCTACCTTAGACTTAAGTCTTCTACTTCCTTACTACTTACAACAATCTGAAGAGAAAATTTTCACCTCTCACAGCTTCTTTTTAGTACTAACATTATATTATGTTTAATACTAATACTGACACTACCTTTCATTTTTTGTGACGCTTAATGTAAGTATCCATGCAAGTTACTTGTTAATTTACATTTCTTTTTCATTTGAGTTACACCCACACTGCAGTGTGTGGTGGGTCGCATACCAGCTCATTAGGAAATCTGTGGGTGTTACACGCAGGAGAAGAAAAAAGAAGGAAAGAATGGAAAAATGAGAGAAAGTAGCCAAGACAAGCAAGTTCTTCCTATTCTTCCTTCTGTCTGAACAATTTCCACACCCTTCCCAAATGGCCAGTATGAACAATTTGCCAAAGTAAGCTTTAATTTAGTCTTTGGACATAGGCTTTGGTATAAACTCTGTTTCTTGTGTTTAATTAATATCCAAATGTGTTTGACTTTGGTTTATTTTATTTTTTTAAAGAGAAATTTAAAATGGGGTGGATTTTCAAAGGCTGAATTTTGCCTGCATCCAATCTGCATGGCCAAATTCAGGCAAGAAGGGCATCGGCCAGGTATGGCTTTGACTGCATTATTTGAAGTTTCATGTTCCACAGAAAATGTCTGGTTTTGATCAAGAGCAGTGAGAATTAAGAGGAGACTACAGAGGTCTGAGTAGAGATATTAAATACAGGAGAAATGCCAAAGGGAGAACTGAAAACAATAAGGAAGAAGGTAAGGTTTACATGGGCTCAGAGGAAACAATAAGGAGAAGTGAAAAAAAAATGTGGCTGATAGAAATGTCAATGTTAGAAATGGAAGGAAGGAAGAAGGTACATTGTAAACTGACCTTCTTCCCTCTCTTGAGGGAGGAAGAAGTTAACTATGTTTTTACTACAAGTAATTTTCAGACCTACTCTCATTCCTTCCCTAGCATCCTTGCTGTTTTTCTTGGCTTGAGGGTGGGACATTTTTGCTCTGATTTCAGATCTTTTCATTGTACAGTCTCTTCTACAGTGAAAATAATTAGAGAGCATGCTGTCACATGGCACAGTGAGCTCCCAGCTTGATTTTATCTGCTTTCCTTGGGACTCTGTGTACTTTTTAATATATTTTTAGCTTTCTTCTCTCATGAAATGGGGCTCAATATGATCATGTTTCCTGAGTCCATCTTTTCACCCAGTTGATTTTTGTGAATGTGGCTGCACTTAATTAACAGGTAGAAGTCTCAGACTTGAAACTCTGACATTAACTTCTGACAAGCTTACTAAAATGAGAAAAGGTACAAGAGCTGTTATGAGTAGTTCAATCTTACAAAGATCTGGAGTCAAAGTTCATGTCTTATTTAGTATAAAGAAAAACACATAAGATGCAATTTCATAAGAAAATACATTTCTCTTGCTTATGAAACAATTTTCTTGGCTCCTGCAAGCACAGTATACAATAAATCATGATGGTAAATATTCCAAACTCTTTTGGCCTTGCATTTTAATTTGAACATTATGATGTTTTTAAGGGAAACACCCTTTTCAGACTGCCCCAGTTTGCTTTAGGAGTGTTCGCTATTGCTGTAGGACATGAATTGTGGGAAATGCTTGTAGGGTATGTCCCACACTGTAATCCTGTAACAGCAAATCTGATTTATTCCCACCCTCCCAGCTGTTCACTCGCGCTCCTCTGCTGTGAAACTCTTTGGTTGGGTTTGAACCAGAATCTCTTCACTGGCCTTGCTTGAACAGCAGCTCTACAACACTTCGATGGGTGCTGCCACAGGGGTCTGGGGAGGAGTCTGTCCTATGAACTTTGAGCTTTGGAGTTGCACATTGCAATAGCTGTCTCTCGAAAGAATTGCATTGCAGCTTCTCTGCAATGGACTCATTTATGATTTGTGGCCAAGTCCTGCAGATCTGTGTGAACTTTAAACTTGCATTCATCTGTCTGTGACAACAGAGCTCTGCCGTGAAATATGCAGTAACTTATGCAATAACTTATGAAAAATGTTTAGATTGTATCTTGTACTTAATATTTCCTGGTTTGGCTTTAGATTGCTTCCCTTCCCTGTTTTTTACAGCCAGATAATGGGGAATAAGGGTATCTTTTTTTAACCAAAGCATTCTTCTTCTAGAGATCAAGGTTACATATCTGAATTCTTTTTTTTTGTCATTTTGTTCATTTCTCAGGGTAATGGGCATTTGACAAGAACAAAAGAAATGTCTGTATTTACACACTCTTTGGGTGTTTTCTTTTTTTGTGATTTTTTTTTTTCCCTGTCTTTCCTTAGACTGTAATACAATAGAATAGGGCAACTCTTTGGGTGTTTTCTTTTTTTGTGATTTTTTTTTTTTCCCTGTCTTACCTTGGACTGTA